GGAGCGTCCGCATCACCGGGCTGCGTCCAGCTGCGGCGGAATGAGGGTGCCCCAAGGACAGGGGAGTGTTTCTCACCGGTGCGGGCATCCGTGGGACGCAGGGTGTGCCAAAGGCTGGAGCACCCACCTCCTCCAAGGAGGGGTGCAGGAGCAGGGGGTGCCCTTGCTGAAGAGGGGGTGCGCCTGTAACCCCCCAGTTCCCGGGTGGTGGGCACACACCTGTGTGCTTGCGTGTGGGGAGGACTGAGAACATTTTGGGACTTGTTCTAGAAGGGGATTCAGAAATTCACAGCTGTTCTTTAACATTTTGCAAGAGCTGGGTGACGGGCATCTCTTGCATTGACAATTCTGGTGTTCCCCGACTGCCGGTTAATTATGTCATTAACTAATCAATAATCTGCTTCGATCCTGAATTGAAGCCGGGCGAGTTGAGGGGTTTCCCCGTGCGGCGGACTCACGCTGACGGAGAGGTTGGCGTTCCTGATGGCCTCCTCTGCGCAGAGGATGTCCGCCTCCGCCTCCCGGCCCGGGCAGGCGCTGAGGATGTCGACATGCTTCTGCACGCTCAGACAGATCTCGTTCACCATCTGGAGTGCGGAGAGGCTGCATCAGCACTGCCAGTTCCCCTCCTTGCTGTGACTTTCCCGGAGAAGGATGTGCTGGAGCTGCCCAATGGGGCAAGCGGGGGCACAGGCAGGTTACAGCCCCCAGAGCATCCCTGCCTAATAACTGGGGATGCCACGTGGCGGAGATTTGCTTGCGAGCGTGCGCAGGGAGCCGGGAACACGCTGCGTGGGGTAGCGTAGCAGCGAGATATCCCAGTGTTGCATATGCATGAAACGCATGGATGCAACCAGGAGGGTTCCTTGGAGATAGCCTTTCTGCCTGGCCCCACTCTCATCCCTCTGGACTGCTCTGCCCTCCGCTCAGGAAAGGTGAAAAGGGGTTTGTGCCGCTTGCAGGAGCTCACACGAGCTAGCCAGGTGTTGTTCGGGGCAGGGGAGGGCAGCCCCATGGCAACAATTTGGCCGGCAAACCTGTTCGGAAGAGGTGGTGAGGATGCCCTGCTGCAGGCGGAAGGTCTGCGTGGGCAGCGTGCGCCGCAGCTGGTTCCTCGTCAGGCAGGACTGGAGCTGCAGCAGGCAAGAGGCCATGAGCACCCGGTGTCGGTGGCACCCGGCCCCGCACCCCCCAGCCCGTGTCCCCCCACCTTGTGCACCGCCTCCTCCGTTTTCTCGGGGTTGCTGCGGTACGCCTGCGCCACGTCGCTCATCGGCAAGGGCATCGACTTGAGGGTGTAATTCCTGCGAGGCAGCACAGGGGTGAGCGGGTGCTGCCGGACCCCTCGTCAACCTTTCGG